TCAGTCCGACGGCTTCAGGTGGGCCCCGAACTCGTACTTCCCGACCTTCTTTGCGACGAGCGCCCCTCCTTTGCTCGCGAGCTGAGGGGCGCCCGACCTTCTCTTGCCGCGAGGCAGCTCGGCTGAGCTGGCGGCCCCCGTATGTTACACGGGGGGCGGGCCGTGCCCCCCTTCGCCCCGTGGGTTGGGGACGGCCTCGCCGCGGCGCACGGTGCGCCGCCTCCTTCTCTTGGCGAGTCTTCCTCTCTGATGGCGTAGTTGCTGAACACCGCTTCTGAGGACCCTGCTCCTGTCCTCCTTATGGGCGGCCTCCAGACGTTCACTGCCTTCAGAGCTGTTGAAGACCCTGCTCCTGTCTTCCCTTCAGCTGAAGTCGAGGTAGGTTCAACACGCCTCGCTGCTGAGGACCCTGCTCCTGTCCTTCTTTCAGCGGGCTGGTCACGTCGAGGTGTTGGTCGTAGTTGGTGGGGTGGAGTTGCTAGGGTTGTTGGTCTTTGTTCGGCCACGCAACTGAGGACCCTGCTCCTGTCCTCCTTTCTGCGGGCGTTCCTGCTAGAGGTCGGTTCAGAGGACCCTGCTCCTGTCCTCCTTTTCGACGTCTCCCAGGCATGCTCGTCGAGCCTCGCTGTTGAGGACCCTGCTCCTGTCCTCCTTTCAGCAGGCTCCGTCTTGGTTGCGTCGCGCCACGCTGCTGAGGACCCTTTTCCTGTTCTCCTTTCAGCGGGCGGGTTGTGTCGAGGTGGTGGTGGTTGTTGGCTAGTTGATGGTTGCGGGGTGGGTGGTCGGTCGGTGGTTAGTCCCAAACGTTGTGGTTGGTCGTCTTGAATGTCTCTGGGTAGGTCGTGGGGAGGTCGGTTTGTTGCTGGGGTTATGGTATGGGTTATGGGCGCACTTGAAAGGCCTCCATGCACCGACTTCAAGTAGGGTTCGTGGCGGCCCCACCTCGTCCCGCTATGGCTAGGGGTCACGGTGCCCTCGGTGGGGGCGAACCCCAGGCCTGGTGCTTGCTGCTGTTGTCGATGAGGGATGTCTTGGCTGCCTTCAGCTTCGCCCCTGGGGCGATCGGGTAAGCACCACCGTCGCCGTGGGGATGGTGGGGGTGGCGAGCTAGGGCGGACCGCGGGGGCGCGGGTAGTGGCCGTCCTACCCCCCCCCCCTGCCCCTCACCATCCCCCCTGGTAGGCGCGGGCAGTGCTCGTCCTGCCCCCCCCACCCTTCGAGCCCGTCTCGAAGTTTGATCCTTGCCTCACCAGGGCAGCGTTGACTTGTGGGGTGGTGTGGTATGCCGTCATTTGGGTCGTGGGTTGTGGTTGGTCGGTGGTGTTTGGCAAGAGTGGAGGGCGTGTGCGATGCGGCTTGCTGGTAGCCGCTGAACCCGTGCTCGTGCGGCCGCCGCCTCCATCAATAACTACTACAAAAAGTGGCGACCTGTGCCTGGGGTGTTCCCACGCTTTCGGGGCTTCCCCAGGACTTGCGTCCTAACGCCTCATGCAAAACTGGGCGACGCTGCCTGAGGTGTTCCCACGCACTCGGGGCTTCCTCAGGACTTGCGTCCTGGCGCCTTTGAGCTTGTCGTCGGTGACACCCGTCGTGGCGATCATCCTCGGCGTGGGGAGGCACTTCGTCTTCTCGTTCGATGTAGTACGCGTCCTTGGTGTTCGGGTTCTGGCTGGTGGGCGCAACGGTTGCGGTTCTGAGGCCCCATCTGGCCACTATGTTGCCGTCGAGCATGTCGGCGATGGCGAAGTCGATCTCCTCTGCGTTTGCCGTGGACATTATGTTGCGGAGGTCGTCGCGGGTGCCGTTGTCGAGGATCTGTGTGGCGCCGAGGTCGTAGTGACTTGTCGGGGTCCCGTAGACAGTCATCAGGTTGGCGATGTACAGAGTCTGCCTGATGATCGATTCCGCCGAGATGGCTGCGACAAATGGGACGTAGGTTGTGGTCGCCGTGTAGAGCATACGCAAGACCTCTCGTGTGACGCTGTTGGCGGCGAATATCTCGTCGGCGATGGTCTCGGAGACTTGAGGCGTCCCCCATGGTGCCTCGGGGGTGCGCCGCATGCTTGCTCTGCTGCCTAGAACATCGCTTGCGTCATGTAGGTACCAGGTTCGTCGTGGAAACTCTACGTAGATGGCCGCTATCTCGCCATGTATGATCCTATTTTGTACTCGCCGAAGTTCTGGCATTGGTTCTGAGGTCTGGCCATCGCTGTGGATTGCGATCTGGATGTAGTCCAAGCCGCTGATGCTCGTGATCCCGCTGTTGGCCATGATCTGCTGGAGGTCGGCGGCCTGTCGGGGGCGGTCGGTGGTGAAGACAACCTCTTGGCGCTCGGCTGGTCCTGCAGGCGAGCTCGCGGGTGGACTGCTTGGCGATGACTCAAGTCTGGCGAATACTTTAGGTGCGACGGGCGACGTCTCGAGGAGCGGCAGCGGCGTGACGTCGCACGGGTGGGCTGGCTTGTCGCTGAAGGTTGGGTGTCGTCCTTGCTCCGTGGCCTCAGCGATGGCGGTGAGGTTCTCTGCTATATGCTGCTCCGTCAGGGGCTCCATCGTCTGGATGTGCCAGGCATGCCAGGATTTGCGGCAACGGTGAGCCACCGATAAGTGCTTGATGGGCCTCGGGAGAGAGTGGTGCTCGGTCTGGCAGCATCGGCGCGCGGTGCCTGTAGCCCAGAAGCGCGGGTCTTCGTGGTCTGGGTGATCCCTACCCATATGGATTGACATGCCTTGCCTGGGGGCGACTCGGCTGCAGGCGTAGCAGACGTACTTCTGGTAGTTGGTGTCGTCGCAGAGGTCCAACTCTTCAGTTGGGTGAGCTGCGGTGATCATCTGGATGTCCTTCTGGAGCTTGGCGCCCCGGGCTTGGTCGCGAATATGGAGAATGTAGGCCTTCAAAGCTGCCTTGGCTGCGTTGGTGAATAGCTTCGGCTTCAGTCGGGCCCAGTTGATGATGTCGCGGTCGTGCTGGGTTTGGCTGGGCCGCCTCTCTCTTGGTAAGTACGTACGTAGGAAGTCGAAGTCTTTCTTGAGCTGGCGGCTCCAGGTGCCCTTTCGTTGGCGCTGGCCGCCGAGGAGCTGGGGTAGGGCTGCTGGGGCATGATTCGGGAGTCTTGGTAAGTATCGTAGTCGCAATGTTGACTGGTGAGTGATGAAGTCGGGTACTCCTGTCTTGGCGATTGCCTCTGCTTCGGAGATGTGCTGGTCGGGTGAGTTGGTCTTGGGTGGCGAGGCTGCAACGCGGTATGGGCCCATGTGCTTGGCGGAAATATGCTTCAGGTCTTTCTGGGCCAGGCCGCTCCAGACATGGTGGTTGTATGTCAGCGAGGAGGTCGAACAAGAGTGGACGTACTTCACCTTGGCTTTCTTCGAGAGCTTCTTGCGGCGGGGGATCTGCTTCTCGAGAGGCCGGGCTGCACCGAGCGTGCGGTTGACCCTTAGGCAGATTTCTGGCCCCATGGCCCCGCCCGCCGAGATGATGGCGCCGAGGGCTTTCTGTTGCATTACTAGCTGCACCTTGATGGAACATCCGTCCAATTCGAGGTATGTGATGCCCTCCTTGGCGATCCGCTGTTTCTCCTTCTTGGCCCCCGCGCCGTTGTGCATGGGGATGGCCTTGGTCTTGTCTGGGCGTGGCTTCAGGCCATGCTGGAACGCCGCTGTGCAGAGCCTGGCAGCTGTCAGAGTGGTCGTGTTGATCAGGTCGCTGGCGTTTGCGGTCGGGTTGTTGTCTGTGAGGTCGTCGACGAAGGACGTGTTCCTGAGCGCGCTTCCTTCGTGAGGGTTCGGTGAAGAGAGAAGCTCGCTGCAGGCCTCTATCTCGTGTCCGCTTATCTGCTGACCGTGGGCCTCTTCCTCTCGGGCTGCCTGGTCGATTGCCCTCGGCATGCTGGCGAAGTGTATGTTGAAGGCTACGTCCGAGTATGGCACTCCAGGTCGGGTGCTGGTCCGAGGCAGCTGGTAGTGCCTTGCGCTCTTGGCTGTCATCCAGTTGGTGGTGTGGTGATCTGCGATCATGCGGCAGAGGTGCTCGTCGTCGATGTGCTGGTTGTTGTAGGCGGGCTGCTGAAGTCGTTCCTTTAGCGCTGGTCTGATGAAGTCGGGGATGTCGATTCGTTCGATGAGCTCGTTAAGCTCGTCGGCGGAGGTTGGCAATTGCATGCGCAATTCCCTGATGACGGAGTGGCAGGCCTCCCTGAGGTCCAGGAAAGTGATGCCGCATGATCTTGATCTCCTTTGGCAGTCGCTAATGAAGGCGAGGCTGGTGTGAGTGATGAAATCCGTGGCCATCTTGGCTCTGGCGCCGCACTGGGTTGCTTCTAGGGGCTCGGGTAGCAGGCCCTTCACGCGTGAGCGGAGGAAGCCGCTGTGCATCTTGCCGATGATGTTGTTGAGCAGGATGCCGCGGTAGGGTTTCTGGAGCTCCATGGCCCCCTGTCCCTTGTGGGAGTAAGTGGAGTACCCGCCCTTGGCGGCGATCGGCTCGGTGCTCTCGAAGTGGGTCTTGACCAGGACGGGGTGGAGCAGACGAGCCATCCCTTCAGGGCTGGCCCTGGACATGTCGTCGGTGAGCTGGTCGGGGCCGCCTCGGCGGCCTCGCTTGGCGGCGGCGAGCTGGCTGGTGAGCTGGTGCTTGGGTATTATGTTCTGGATCTTAGGTCCTGGCCCTTCGTGGCGGGTCCTCTTATTGTAGTCGGCTGCTACCCCGTCTGCGTCCGTGGCTGTAGCCTGCTCGACTTTGCCGTAGAAGGCCAGGGCGTGGTCGGCGATCTCGCTCTTCGTTGTGAGGGGCTTCCCGTCGTCGTTGGTGCGGATGATGGGCGTCGGCGGCTTCTTGGACTTTCGTCCTCCGAAGGCCTGTAGTCGCTTCGCATACAGGGCCTCTAAACGGGGGGCGTGGTCGTCGATCGCTGTGCCCATCTCGTCGGCGGTCCTCTCGAGGAAGTCGTCGCGGTCTGTCGTGATCCACTTCTGTAGGATCGACTTATACGTCCTGAGGAATTGAACGAGGGCGTCAAAGTAGTGCTGGGCGCTGTACACGGTGTTGACTTCGTCGGTTTCCACGACAGAGGTCGCTAGGCTGGGGGTGCTGAAAATGATGGAGGCCACCGCAAGTTCCGCGTAGTCGCTGGGATCGGCCAGGGCATTCGCGTCGGCGGGGTCGGGCAGGAGAGCTTCCTTCGCTATGAGCTTGGCCGTGTAGCGTAGCCTCTTGCCGCCGAAGTGGCTGACAATCCCGTTTTTCTTGGCGATCCGTGTCGTCTTGAGTAACGAGCGGCGAACTCGCAGGAGTGCGAAGGATCGCCTGGTGATGTAGGGCTTGTGTGGAGTGCGGCCGTGGGGGCGGAAGCACTCGTGCGCAGCCTCCGTGATCTTCTCGGTGACTATGGTGAGGTGCTCGTTGAGGTTGGTGTCCCATGGCTGGTGTTTGACCTCGTCGAGTTTTTGGCTAAACTTTTTGCGGCGTCCTTCGTCGGCTAGCTTGTTCTCGTCTAACTTCGGGACTCCTTTGGTGACGGGCGAGGCGATCTGGTAGGCAAGCTGCAGCTTGACTGGGTCGTGGTCGTCCTTGGTCTCTGGGTCCTGGCCGCTGTCTATGCCGTAGAGCACGGCGCACTCTTCGATAGAGTCGATGTAGCCCTTGGGGATGATGACGTAGTCGATGCGATGAGGGTCCTTGCCCGAGTGCCAGGTGTAGTGCTCTGGTCCATGGCTGACGAAGGTGTTGGCGGTGGCCAGGTGGTTGGTCAGGAGAAGTTCATGTAGGCGGTGTCTGTTTGGGTCCTCGTTTTGCTTGAAGCCCTTGTCGCCGATGGCCGTGCTGGTGATGCTGCCTGTCCTGGCATTTGTGTCGAAGAAGATGATGCTCGCTTGGTGCCTTTCGGTGGTCTCCGCGAGTTTCTTCAAGTAGCGATCCTTCTCGGTCGCGAGGGCCTTCGAGTGCGGGGCGTGGGCGACGGTAAGCACGTGGTTGAAGCCATGGGCGGCAACGCGGACGATAAGGAGCCTGGGGTCCTTGGCGATGACTGTGAATTGGTCGGGTTTGAAGTGGAGCTCCCCTTTACCGCTCTTGCCGTAGGGCTTGCTGAGTAGAACGTGCAGTTCGCAGCCGTAGTTGAACCCTTTGTGACCGCTGGAGATGATGTGGTAGCAGTTGGCGTTGGCGCATCTGGCGTCGTCGTCTTGTCCTGCGTCGCGGACGCCCCAAGGCGTCCTTGCCTCCTGGACGCCGATGATATGGAGGTCCTCGTCGTACAGGCAGGCCATCGTGGAATTGAGCTTATTGATATTCTCTTTTCGACGCTTCGATCCTTCCTTTGGCTCTCTCCCCGACTGGATGTTGGAGGTCGCGATGTTTATTCCAATTTGAACCTTCTTGTCGCTGGACTCGGTGGGGTTGTGAAAGTGTCGGGCCTCGGCGGTCGTCTCGACCCTGTTAGCTGTGAGGCTGCCGTGTCCGAATGCGGGGTGCGCCTCCCTGGTGTTGGGATCCGCGTCGGTCAGGAACTCCCAGTCCTGCTGGGATGCGCCGTCCATGGTGCTTGCCCACTCTGGCTGTGGAGGTGTAACTTCTTGCAGGCGTCCGTGGTTGGCGGCGGCGTCGGCAACCTCGTTCCACGGGTTGTAGTCGTGGGCATGGACGTGCTGCAAGCCGATCTTGTTGCTGACCATGTCGTAGAGGATGCAGAGTGTCCTGACGAGCTTGGGGTCGTGGTCGGTGAAGGCGAGCCTCTTCGCGAGCTGCAGGGCGCCGAGCGAGTCCGTGGATATCGTGGCGATGAGGTGGGGGTTGTAGTGTACCACCCAGGCGAAGGCCCATGTAAGGGCTGTGATCTCGACGGTCGTGGAGGTGGTCTCGTGCTCGGCGTTGTCCTTGAGGGCGATGTCGGTGCCGCTCTTGTGCTTCCCTATGATGGCTCCCTGGAAGCTCAAGCCGTGGTTGTCGTCACCTGCGATCACAACGGACCAGGCGTCGTCGCTCGGCTTCTTCGGATTTTTGGAGCCGTCCGTGAAGAGATGGATCTTTGCTCCTTCCTGGAGTGGTCGTTGTGGGTGGTGACGGAGCATGTGGTCGGCTGTCTCGTTGAGGCTCTCGTCGCATAGGTCAAAGCTGATGTGGGGGGATAGGGGTTGCTGTGTCGTTTGTCGGATGGTTGGTCGCTCGTCGAATTGTACTCTGCGCTGCTCTAACAGCGGGGATGGCGTGTCGGGTGTTGTTGTTGGCTGGTTGGGTGGTACTGGGTGCTTGACGTTGGTAGCTCTGAAGGGTTGAATGGGGCTCCCTCTTACTCGGTGTAGACGCTGGCCCGCAGTGCGAGGCTGTGCTTGGGCGCCAGACAGGCGCGTCGATGTTGGGGGGAGGGGGGTGGCATAGGTTCGAGAGCGGAAAGGTTGCATGGCGCTTCCCCTGTCGGTATGCTTGGCGCCAGGGTATGTGGCTTCGATGTCGTGGATCTCTCGTGGATCTATGCAGTTGTCTGCCGCAGGGGCGGGCGGTGCTGCGTCGGCTCCTCTTGGGCGTCTGCGCCGCTTGACGGCGCATCCAGGGCATCTGCAGGGGGGCCGCTGTTGGTCCCGTGGCGTTGGCAGGCTTGGCCCCTGGTGGGCCGCTGGAGGTCCTGAGGGACTCTCTAGGGGGAGAGTATGGCGATGCTGAAAAGCCGGCCTCGGGGAGTCTCCGAGGTCCAGCCGAAGGGGGCATGTGGAGTGAGTCTTGGTGCTGCTCCTCAGGTTGTTGCAGTCCTTGCTGCTGCGGCTGCTGCAGTCCTTGCTGCTGCTGACGTCGGCTGGCCTCCTGGTAGGGCTCTTCGTTAGGCCCTTCAGGAGACATGCGATGCGGCGCCTTTGGGCCAAAGTGGCTGGTCGCCTGGTTCGCCCTCTGCTGGGCGCGTCTCTGGGGAGCGGGTCGGTCGGGTCGATGGGGGCTTGCCCCGTCTGGCCTCGCTGGCCGCCTAGGTGGGGTTGTTGGTGCACTGCGGTTGTCGGCTGAGGGGGTGGTCCTCGGTCCGACGGTTGGTGCAGTCGTGGTTGCTAGTGCCTGCGCGCTGCCAGGGTCGTAGTGCTGGTCCCAAGGCGCCGCGGCTGAGTAGATTACCCACTCGCTGGTAGTGTTGAAACTAATCTTTTTATTGGGTTTGCGTTTTTTGTGTCGCAGTCGCTGGTTGTGGGGTGCTAGGTTGCGCGGCCGCTGGCGTCGGGCGGTGTGCTAACCCACAAGCTAACACCGCTGAGGCGGTCGGCGGCCTCCCGAGCGGGGTGTGTGGCTGTAAAGGCGTCTGGGCCTGTCGCTGAGTGTCTGGCACCGCACGGGTCGCGCAGCACGTCTGCTGGGGCTCAGTGGTTGCTCCGTTGAGCTGGTTGTTACGTATAGCCACCCTGAGCGGGCTAGGTGCTCGGTCTTCTGGTGAGGTTGTGGTGGGGCTCTCCCGCTGGGCCAGTTGCCACCCAGCGTGGGGAGTCCTGCTCAGTTTTTTGTCGTGTCTGAGCTTGAACCCGAGCTGCCCTCCTGACTCTCGGGGTTGAAGCGCCTGCCGTCCATTGGGTTGTCGAACCCGTCGCCGTCATCCAGGATCCGTACCTCGCGCGCGGGCCTGCTGTGGGTGCTTGCCCTTCGGAGTGCCGATGGTGGTGCTGATCTGGCACGGTCGTGCGTGGCGATGTGGAATCGTGCTGGAAGTGGCTTCGGGGAATATGGTTGGGTAGGTGCGAAGGGGGGGGGGGGGGGGCGACTTCGAGCGTCATGGGGAGCGTGGGGGGGGGGGGGGGGGGGAGTCTGGGTTCCCCAATCGGGTGGTCTGTGCGTGAGACGGTCGGAAGCGTCGTGGGGGGATGGGATCGTCGGGGAGCGGCACGGACCGTGCCCCCTGTAGGGGGGCGGCCGTGGGTGTCGGGAGGGGGGGGGGGGGGGGGGGGGTCGGCGATGCCCGGACTGTCGGAGTGTGTGTTGAGGCGCCGAGGTCGTGGTCGTTCAGGTCGTCGAAGCTCTGGTCTTCAGCGAGTCGTGTGGGAAGTGGTGTGGATGGCTCGGCCAAGAATCCTTCGTGCGTCTTCGGAGTCTTTGGGGTCGTTCCGTCTCCCGCGACTGGCGTCGGAGTTACTCCCGAGGGGGATGCGAGGTCGATGAGGGGGCCGAGTGGTTGCGGTGTCGTCGCTGGTGGTGGGAGTGGTGATGGGCTGCGTGGTGGTGCTTGTGGCTGCGGGTTGTTGTGCGGGTCGGTGGCCTGGTGGAGCTTTTGGATAGCTGGGTGCGTGCCGTTGTAGCCGAGATCCACGGAGCGATCTTCGATGTTCTCGCTCCCACAGTGCCTGCGCCTGATGATCTCCGTCTTGGCGCTGGTGTAGTTGCCGCAAGATTGCAGAGGCTGCAGTAGAAGGGCGGCGTTAATCCATTCGAAGATCCTAATGATGAGGGAGCGCCACGACGTTCTGCAATATTCGGGGTTGCCATCTGGTCGAGTTCGGCGTAGTACGGTTCACGGGTCACGTCGTAGTCGAACTCTTGCGACGGAGCGATTGCGTTTACAGCGGAGCGTATGTTGTCCCGCTGGTAGGCCTCCTCGTCGCCGGCTTGGGCTTGCATCTTCTGCTTCTCGTTTTCCGTGATGAGCGCGCTGGCGACGCCGTCGAGCATGTCTGTGTCGATCTTGGGCGCGATGCTGTGGAGCTGCCCCCGCAGGGGCTTCTCGAGAAGTGCTTGGTGTACTCGATGCTCTTCCTGTTGTCGGGCAAGCTGTTCACGGTGATGCTCTTCCTGTGATTGTCTTTGTGCCAGTGCGGCTTGTAGCTCAGTGTTGGCGAGCCGCTGCTGCTGGTGTATCTCTGCCTCGTGCTGGCCGTATCTCTCCAGGAACTGCTCACGTTGATGCTGGTCGTACTCCGTCTTGTGCTGCATCTGCTGCTGGAGAGCCTGGGCCTCGTTGAAGAAGAGCTGGTGCTGCAGGGTAGCCCGTTGGTGCTCCGCTTCTTTGGCTTCGAGCTGGTCGCACTTGTTCTGGATGTGGCGCTGCGCCTCGAGCTGGAGCTCCGCCTGCTGGTAGACAACCTCTCGCTCCCTCTGGACCGTGGAATGTTCCTCCACGAGCTTATTGGCGGCAATGGCGGTCTGCTGCTGGATCACGTGCTCTTGGTGGATCTCCTCTCGCTTTAGGTCTGCTTGGGCTTCCGCGATCTGCTCAGCGATGCCGTTTTTTCTTTGCATCTCCTGGGCCGCCATGACTTGCGCGGCCTGTTCCTTGAGGCGGAGGTCCTGGTTCATCTGCTCTATCCTCTGGCCCTCACGCTGCAGTCGTTCGCACTCGCGATGAAGTTGTTCACTCATCGCTTGCTGGCGGGCTGCTTCCTCGGAGGTTGATGCGATGCAAGTCTGGGAGGCCGTTTTAGCTCGGATGGCATCGAGCATGTAGTGAGCCTCCTGGCGCTTCTGCTCGTAGGTGAGCTTCTGACGCTCGAGGTCATGTCTCAGCGCGCGCTCGTGGTTCTCGATCCTCTGCGCTTCCTGCTGCATCTTCTCGGCGTAGAACTGATGAACAATCTCCTCTCGATGCTGGAACGCGCGCTCTTGCTGAGCTTCTTGGCGGCGGAGTGCCTCGGTGTTCCTTGCTATGGCTTGTTCGGTGGCAATCGTGGCCGTCTTGGATAGCGCCTGCTCGTGATACACGAGCCTGTCCCTGCTTTTCATCTTCAGCTCGGCAAAGCACTGGCGCATGGTTCCTACCTCCTCCTCATATTCTTCTGACTTTTTGCGGAGCTCGGCATTGGCGGTGCTGGCCTGGCTCCTTCCTTCTCGGCGTGCTTCCTCGCTTTTCCTCCTGAGCTGCTCTGCGATGGTGCTCGATGGGGAGGCCGGCCTGCTCGAGCACGAGGAAGGAGGCTCTCGACTGGCGCGACGGCGAAATGGGGTGCTGGCCCTTTTGTTTTTGTACTTATTGATGTCGTCCTCGGAGTCGGCCTCGCAATCGGTGTCGGCTTCGGCCGCGATCTCCAGTTTGACATCCGTGATGAGGCGCCTCAAGTCGGAGATGCGCTGGGTGTTGGCGTCCGCCTTTGTCTGCAGAGCCTCCTTCTTCTCATGGATGTCTTTCTGCTCTTTTGCCGGCGCCTCTATCTGAGACCGATATTGTTGTAGCCGTGCGCGTGGGCCCGTGGCCATCGCGAGCATGCGCTTGATGACCGAGGCCTCCGTAAGCAACTTGCAGGCGTCAACCTTGGCAGACTGGGCGCCGCTGATCTGGTCGGCGACGCGGCCGAGGCTCTGCTGGAGGTTCCTCGTCCAAAGCTTCCTCATGTCGCGATCTTCTGGCGGGAGGCCGAAGGATTCGTGGTCACGAGAAAGGGAGAAAGGCAGCTCGAGCACGGCGTCGGCGATGGCCTGCTGCCTTCTGCTGAGGATGAAGTCCTGGATGTGGACAGCGTCCTTTTTTTTCAAGCAGATCTGCTCCAAGGGCGCTTTCTTTGAAAAGGGGAGCTCCGCCATGGCCATGGTTGCTCCCCCACGGCGGGCCCAGGGTGTGGTCCCTGCTCCTGACCACCTTTCCCCTGGGTCCTGGGAGGGCGCCTGGGCTGTGGACCCTGCTCCTGTCCACCTTTTCCCAGCGCCGCGCTGCGACGCCTCGAGGTGTGCGGCCCCTGCTCCTGACCACCTTTCCCTCGAGGCGCCGCGCTGCTGCTGCCGCTTCCAGCTCTTCGCCATGTTGTCGACGGGCTGGGCTGAGTGATGATCTGCAAGTAGTCGGGAGGCCTTAACTACCTGCAGGAGTGTCCTGGCGTGGCCCCGCGCTATGCGGGCCCTCCTGTGCCAACTTTCTTCTTTCTGCCTGGGCGTCTTTCTCTAGCCTAGGCGTCGCGGCCGCGGCGCTTCTCTTCAACTTTGATTCTTTTATGGCGCCGCGGCTCGCTGGCCGGGGCTGACGGGGCTGGCCGAGCGAGGGGGCGACGCGACCCCGCGCGGCGGCGGGCCCCTCCTCAGCCCGTGGCTTTGCTCCTCGTCGTCGTCCTCCTCCTCCTCCTCCTCCCTGCTTGCCATTTTGGTTCAAGCATTTGGCTTGAGCTGGCCGCGGTGGCGTTTGCTCCTGCATTCGTTGTTCTTGCATGCGTACTTTCCTTCTTTCCGGCAATGGCACGGCGTGCCATCAAGACTTTGTTTAACGAGATTCATCTGCTTAAACTCGAGATCAGACAGCAACATAATAAGAAACATGAACTTCAGCTTTCTCTGGACGTGCCGATCCCACGGGTAGACAGATGACATGATGATATTCAGCAGCGTAACGATGGACAACAGCGTGAGGGCCATCCATTTCACCACCTACAGCGTGAGGGTGATCAGCAGCGTGTGGAATATCAACTGCATCATGATGATCAGCAGCGCAATGATGATATACAGCGAGAGGACGATCTACAGCGTGTGGAAGATCAACCACGTAATGAAGGATGATCAGCAGCGTAAGGACGTCCTTCAGCGTGTGGACGATCAACAGCGTGAGGATGATCGACAACGTGAGGGCGATCAACAGAGTGATGCCAATCGGCAGCCTGAAGACGATCAACGGCGTGTGGACGATCAGCAGCGAAAAGGACGCTCAACAGCGAGGGTATGTTCAATCTACAGCGCAAGGGTGATCAAGAGCGAACTGATCCTCAACAACGTGTGGACTATCAACAGCGTGAGGACGAACACCTACCTGATCACGATCAACAGCGCGTGGGCGATCAGCAGCGTGAGGATGATTAACAGCGTGTGAACGATCATCGACGAGAGGATGTTCAACAGCGTGTGGACGATCTACGGCGTAATGGCGATCAACAGCGAGGGATGCCCAACTGCGTGTGGGCGATCAACAGCGTGAGGGCGTACAGCTTCGTTAGGACGATCAACAGTGTGTGGGTGATCAGCAGCGCGAGGATGATCGACAACGAGAGGACGATCAACAGCGAGTGGACGATCAACAGCGAGAACGGTGCTCAACCGCGTGAGGATGATCAGCAGCGTGAGGACGGACAGCAACGCGTGGGCGATCAGCAGCGAGAGGGCGCTCAACAGCGAGAGGATGTCCTACTGCGTGTGGACGATCAGCAGCGAGTGGGCGATCAACAGCGACAGGCTCATCAACCGCGTGAAGACGAATAACAGCGTGAACGCGATCAACAGCGCAAGGGCGATCAACAGGGAGAGGACGATCAGCATCGTCTGAGTGAATTATATCGGCCAGGGAAGCAGCAGCGCGAGGACGAGCAGCAGCGAGGGGATGTGCAACAACGTGTGGACGATCAACAGGGCGAGGGCGCTCAAGAGGGTGAGGGCGATCAACAGGAGGATGTGGAGAGGTGTGAAGAATTTGTCTACAAATGAGTGCGACAGTCTGCTGTGATGAATGGTGGTGCGGTAGGTCTTCGATATCTGGAACGCTTAGGGAGCTGGGGCTCGTCTTTTCTCAGATTCGCTTGCAGACCGTCCTGGACAGCTACGAGGCACAGGGGCTGCCTATTATGACTGACCTCGCAGAGGCGGCGGCAGCTGCTGGGCTCTTTCCGAAAGAACACGTTGTGTGGATTCGTCGCGCCGGCCGTGATCTGAGAGCTGCTTGTAGTGAGTGATCTGGTTGGGCAGGGCTTGCATGTGTCTGAGTTGGCGACAGTTTCGTGCTGGTCGACCTCGACTCTTACGCCGCCACCGCCGCCTCCCTGCCCCTCCCTCCTCCTCCTCGCATCCTCCAAAGACGCCGAACCTCGGTGATGTTCGGTTCTATATGTTTAGCCCACGTCCGCCGGCCCCTTTGTGTAGCTACGGCGCTCCCAGAACTTCTTTCCTTTCGAGGGTGCCGAGGCTGGTCCTCTCGCCCTCCGCGGGGGCGGGTGCGGAGGCGCCTGCGGAATTCCTGGCAGGGGTCAAGAGCGAGGGCACCTGCGCCAGGGCGGAAGCCAGCGGAACCCCGGGGGGGAGCTGTCCGAAGCGAAGGAGACAACACCACATGAGATCGGGGGCGGCCAAGAGGGGGGTGATGACTAAAGGAGTGGTGGATATCATGGCGGGGGGCCATGATATTTCCCCAGATTTCAAGGCGCCTCTTTTTATTTCATTACGTCCCTGGTCCCCCCGCTGGGTTGCGCACGTGCCGCGGGTCATGATTTTCTTGGACTCCCCCCTCTTGGCAGTTCCCGATGAGAGGTCAGTGCCGATGTCCTTCAGGGTCAGCGTGTGCTAGAGATTCACCACCCACCAATCCACCCCAAACCAACCCGAATGCATCAATTTTCCCTACATTTCCAGTGCGGGGCGGGGTCGGGGAGCATCGAAAAAAAACACATGTGGAACTCGTATCCCCCCCCAACCCGATTCGGGTTGGGTTGGGGTGGTCTTGGTAGGTAGTCAGAGATCGGTCGTGGAGTTCCGTCGCCAGCTCTGGCCAGGCCCATCCTGGCCCTGGACTGATGCAAAGACCTTGCTGGCATAGGCTCTATTGGAACTTCCTGTTGTGAGAAGGAGTAGAGGAATGATTGAGCGAGTTAGTTCGTACACGAGTGATTGAAGTATTAGTGATTGAGTTCTTGTTGAGTGAGTGAAAGAGATAGCGAGTGATTGAGTGAGTGAATGAGGTGGAGGAACAGGAATAGCAGGGGGGTGGTCGGTCAGGTGCCGATCGAGTTCCAGGATGAAGAGGAGGAGGAGGATAAGGACGAGGACAAGGAGGAGGAGGAGGAGGAGGGGGAGGAAGAGCAGTATATCATGGACGAGGATCGAGAGGGGGCATGAATGACGTCGCCGACGTTCATTTTGGTGACGACGCGGATGACGTTGAAGATCATGATGATGATTGAAAATGCGGATGCTTCCGATGATGCGGATGGCGTTGGTTATGATAGCAGTTGTATGGATGATGATTGTTCGGAAAATGATGCTGATGATGCTGCTGATGCTGCTGATGATATCGAGGATTCTGAGGATGACGATGCTGGTGCTGATGATGATGTCGATGACGACAAGGATGATCACGACGATGATGACGATGATGATGATGATGACGATGATGATTACGATTGTGATGAAATGGATGATGGCCAATACGATGATGATGACGACGCTGTTGCTGCTGCCTATGTTGACGACGCCGATGCTGCTGCTGATGATGATGATGCTGCTGGTGATGATGATGATGATAATGATGATGATGATGATGCTGATGGTTGCCAATATGATGATGCTGCTACTGCTGCTGCTGCTGATGATGATGATGCTGATGATGATGATGATGGTGATGGTGGTAATGATGATGATGATGATGATGATGATGCTGATGATGATGATGATGATGATTATGATAATGGTGATGGTGATGCTGATGATGATGCTGATGCTGATGATGACAATGCTGCTGATGATGATGCTGATGATGATGATGATGATGATGATGATGATGATGATGATGATGCTGCCGCTGAGGATGATTAGGATTATGATGAGGATGATGCTGGTGATGATGCCGATACTGATACAGATGAAGAAGAGAACGATGATGATAATGGTAACGATGACGATGACGATGGCGATGCTGATGACGATGATGCCGCTGCTGCTGATGATGATGATGTCAATGCTGATGATGATGCTGATGCTGTTGATGATGACGACTGCGATGCTGATGCTGCTGATTATGATGAGGATGATGCTGATGATGATAACGATCCTGATGATGAGGATGATGCTGATGATGATGCTGATGCTGATGATCAGATGATGTTGCTGATGATGATGACGATGATTATGCTGCTGATGATGATGATGATGCTGATGATGCTGCTGATGCTGCTGATGCTGCTGCTGTTGATGATGATGATGATGATGTCGATGAGGATGGTGATGATGCTGATGATGATGATGAAGATGATGCTGATGCTGATGACGGTTCTGATTCTGCTGATGATGCTGCTGATGATGTTGATGCTAATAATGACGACCCTGATGATACTGCTGCGGAGAATGATGACGATTCTGCTGATGAGGGCGCTGCTGCTGCTGCTTTCGCTGCTGCTGCTGATGATGATGATGATGCTGATGGTATGATGATGGTGATGATGATGCTGCTGATGATGATGATGCTGATGACGGTGATGATGATCATGGCAGTGATGATGATGCTGATTATGATGATGACTATGCTGTTGATGGCGACCGTGACGATGACGATGATGCTGCTGCTGATAATAATGATCGTGCTGCTGCTTGGGATGCTGCTGCTGCTGGGAATGCTGAGGATTATGTTGTTGTTGATGATGATGGTGCTTATGCTGATGCTGATGCTGGAGCTTCTGACAGACGATGGGTAATGGGTGATGATGTGGATTATGATGACGATGATGCAGATGATGATGCTGCTGATGATGATGATGATGCTACTGCTTATACTGATGCCGATGCCGATGCCGATGCTGCTGTTGCTGATGATGATGCTGATGCTGATGCTGATGCTGATGCGGACGCTGGTGCTGATGCTGGTGATGTTAGAAGAAGATGGACTCTGGTAGTTGAAACACCGTGAATCATGAGAAGGAGAAGACGAGGGGCATGTGGGGAGCGCTCCCGCCGCGGCGCAGCTCGCAGGAGTACAACACCATGGACGCGCGGGCGCAGATGGTGAACGGTGACCTCTCGGGGAACGATTCGGACCTGGAGGAGAAGAAGAGCCTGAAGGAGGCCGCGTCTCCGCAGAACTCTCCCCTCCCACCTCCTCACCCCTTCTCTTCGGTCTTTGTCTTCGATTCCTCCCCCCCCTCATCCCCTCTCATGCTCCCCTTCGCAACCTCTCTCCCTTCGATCCTCCCCCTTCTCCCCCTCGGTCCCTGTCTTCGTTTGTTCCTTCCCCCACTCCTCCTCGTCCCCCAGCCCTTTCGACCCCTTCCCCCAACTCCCCGACCGAGGCCTGCGAGACGGAAAAGGCTGAGGCCGAGGCCTTCTTGGCCCAGCTGCGCGAGCTCTGCTCCGAGAAGGCCGCGCAGTACGAGAAGCGGGCGCCGCGGCCGCGCGCGACAGCGCCGCCGCCGCCCCTGCCGCTGCCGCCACCGCCGCCACCGCCGCCACCGCCGCCACCGCCGCCGCCGTCGTCGTCGTCGTCGTCGTCGTCGTCGTCGTCGTCGTCGTTCTCGTCGTCGTCGTCGTCGTCGCCGCTGCCGTGGCCGCCGCCGCCGCCGCCGCCGCCCTCTGTCGTCGTTCTCGTTCTTCTTCTCCCTCCTTCCCCCCGCTCTCCCTCCTCCTCCTTCTCCTCCGCCTCTTCCCCCTCTTCCTTCTTTTTTTGTCGAATGGTACCCCATCCCATGTGTGGCCGCTGTCTTTTCGGCTTCTCAGAATCTGACCGTGCCCGTGTCAAAACGTGTCGGACAGCCGCCCAGTCTGTTCCAGCCTTTCCTTGGCCTGCGAGGAAAATCCATGCTACATTCCCAGCCCTGTGCGTTTCTTCTTGGCAGCGGAGTGAAATAAGTTCAGCGACGTGCCCTTGGCTCCTTCTTTCGCCCCGCTGATCACCGTGTGGAGGTCCCCGTCCTACGAGGACGTCCTCTGTGGATAGCACTCGGAGCTGTCCCCCCACGGCGCCGGTGGCCGATCCGCCAATCGCTGCAGGATCCTGCTGGGGCTCCGCGGGCCACCACGGCAGGGCAAGCGGCATGTGGCGGTCGCGCCGCGTCCCCGGCTGCCGCGGGACGGGCGGGCGCGACACGGCTGTCATGCGGGTTTTGGCGCTGGGGAGAGTCTGCAGGAACGTCGTCCCGGTTGGCGTGGCGGGTTCGACTGGAGCTGTCGGCCGCGGCGCACCCGTCCGGCGCGGCGCGTTCCCTGTGCTGGGACGGGGAGACGGTGCCACCCAGGCACTGTAGATGCAAGGTGCAGTTGCTGCGGCGCGGCCGACTGCGTCGCAGCCGCGACGGAGCAGGTCAACTCCGCCATGGCCAACCGCGATTGCGACTTGATCTGGATCGCTATCATCTCCCGCATGCGCAACAACCATGCGGTCTTGAGCGCATTCGCATCATGGGTGCCACGGGTGAAGGGGAAGGGCGCCAATATGGCCATACTGGGTGTTGCTGCACAACATTGGGCAGGCATTTGAGCAGTTGAAGGCATGCTCCGCACCGACGTCCTCTTCTCCATCAAACATCGCGCATGCCAGCTTCTGTCCTCCAATATGCCCCGCGGCTTGGCCTTCGCCCTGCTGGCGACGGCCCCTGTGATCAGTAACCGTTGCCGATGCCGTTATCTTTCGAGAAGCACGTGAACGACGGGACCGACGCGGCTACGCGAGCTTGACGCGCGCGCGTCTTTCGTCGATGAGGTTGCTTATACGCGAGAGGAGACATACTAAGTTGGGCACCCGACCCGAACGCTTCTTCCAGTTTCGCCGACCAGCCAAGACGCGCCGGACCTCGCGTCAAACTCCAAGAGCAAAAAGATAACACGTGTCCCAGCTTTACTGACAGTCCATGACGCACCAGACCTGGCGCAACGCGCCCCTCGCGTCTAACTGGCCCCAGGAGACGACCTGGTGAGGTGGCTGCTGGGGTCTCGACCTCCGAGGCCACTGGCGGGGGCGCTGGAGGTTCGGCCTCTTGGCGCCCCGCGCCGGCGTGGCAGGGCCGTGCGGTCAAGGCCAGAACATCGAGGACAACGAGGATCGCTATGGCGACTGCAGCTCCGGACTTCGTAGTATCACGCAGTGCCCGCTGACGGTGGGAGACGACGGCCCGCCGAACTGTCGCGACGAGGTCGAGCTGGGCACCAGCCGCGCGGCGGGCCTGTCCAACTGGTTGCTGCTGGGCGCACCAGCCCAGCAGTCCCCTTGGACCCCAGGTTAGGCATGTTATGCTGGCTTCCACCGTCCATCGGCTACGCTACATCCTACCTCCACGACGATGGCGTGGATGTGTGGTGGAAGGAGAAGCGAGAACCAGTGCCTGGGCACTGCGCTGGGACCCGCCGATTTTGGTCGTCATGATGGCCCCGACTTGCCAGCCCTTCGGCATATGTGCCACGTTCAACTACCAAATGACCTACTGCGCATGGAAGGCCTCGTGCGACGACGCCTCACGTCGCGCCCGCTTCTGCGGGCGCCAATCGCTCCTTCGGCTGGATAGTGGGGCGTCTACGTCGCGAGTGAGCAGCCGGCGCTATTCTGGCATCTTGCTCGGCAGCCTAGGCCAGAGGTATTTTCCACGGGGGAAGTGGGCAAGCATGTGTTCGACCAGTGTCAGCTCGGTTAATCGGATGACCAGGCAACGCAAGGCAGAAGACCGCCGACTTCGTCTCGAATCGTCCGAGGTTCTAGAGCAGTTCAAGAATCTTCGCTGCCCGGGCAGACACCGCCCAGTCACATCACCGGGAACGCCAGTTGTGATGCTCTGATTTGGGAAGTTGGCCCAGATGCAGGTCCAGGGCATTATCGCCCCTTGTCGACGTGTGCGCCGTCGGCTCAACCGGGTCTCAGACCCTGGGGGCTTCCATCAGGACTTCCGGCCCGCCGCCGGCGCGCGGCACCGAGACGGCGATGCGCATCGTGAGGTCGCGGCAGATCGAACCAGATCTACGGCGACCTCTTACAGTGAAGTCCCCGGATAGTGCCTGCGCCGGCGCGTGACGGACGTCCGTTCGGAGAACTGCGCAGGTTCCAAGAGCGGGTGGGATCGCGACCGCCCTTCCCGCAACCTTGAGGAGGGCAAGAGCAGGCGCTTGGACCCCTGCGCGCAGGAAGCCGCTGGCACGACGCGGCTGACGTCCCCGTGCCCCGGAGAGATGCGCGCAGCCGAGATGGCGCTTCGGTCGGCGACCCTCAGCCGTCCGACTGGGCGCATTTCGATGTGGCCAAGTCGTGCGGGGCACTGTGCAGCGATTCGCGCCGGGCGCGGATGCGCGAGCTATGGGGGTTGCACCTGAGATGGTGGCGCGGTACCAGAGAAGGGGCGATAAGGGGCGCCTCAGGCCGCCGCCATCCACCAATCCATCTTGGACCTCATGCCCACGGTTGTGAACCGTTGCCGTGAGTGCCGCAAGCGGGTGCTCCCAGACCAACAGGCGGTGCCCACCTTGAGACTCTCGTGGAGATCCAACCAGCACGTCGAGTGCGACGCCATGTTCTTCAGGGGCGTGCAGATCTTGCGCTTGGCGTGCTGCGCCTCGCGGTGGCGCGGCTGCGTGGGCGTTGCCGACCCCGCGACTGCTCCGCGCGCCGCTCCTTGATCCCGCTGTCTGGGGCCATGGAGGTGTTCGTCGTGGACTGCGAGGGAGGGCTTGCTTCCGACATTCCCCGCGAGGAGATGGAGCGACGATGCGTCGAGGTCGACGTCTGGGCACCCCGGCAGCGTGGTTGCTTTGCCGAACGACGAGTTGCAGCGCTGCGTCGCGCGCCCCGCGCCGCGAACAGATGTTCAGGGGGGTCTCTCAGTCGACTTCGGTTCTCTGCCTGCCGGCGCCGCGTTCGCGGGGAACGGGCTCACCCTCGTGGGCGGCGTCGCGCCTTGCGACGCTGTCTTCGGCGTGCGGCCTGCCGTGCTGCCGCCGCTGGGGCGGCCGAGCGGGCTCCTGTGGGGGCCCCGAGGCATCGCCCCGCAGCGCGCAATCGAAGCCGCCTCGACAGCGCGTGTTAACCGTGCGCTCAGCGCCCGCGCCGCGCATTCACGAGAGGGACTTTTCAACGTATCTGACGGCGGGCGCGCGTCGGCCAGCGCTGGCCGGGGCCGGCGACGGCCGTGACAGTCAGCCCCGCCAACGGGCCAGGTCGCGCCCAAGTGCAGGAAGGCCGAGATTATGTGTCGCCACTAGAACGCGAGGGCGTTCGTCGGCGCTGTCTTCGACGACGTGGGCGCTGCCCTCGCTCGAGAGTTGGCGTCGCTCGGGTCATCTTGGTGATGTGGGGCGGGGGTCGATGGCCAGGGCCCGAGGCTCTTGGGGGCTTCGCGTGGGCGCGCGCTTGTCCGTGCGCGCCCGACAGCAGCAGGAGCTCGCCGAGGCCTTGCAGCGCTGGGCCAGGGCCGATCTGCAGCTGCCCAACGCGCGCGCCGCTCGCGCTGCGCGGGGCCGGCAGCGACCGGAGGCCTGGCCGGGAGGAACTCGCATCTTGGTCGTCTGGCGGGGCCCCCGGGGCCCCTCGGAGTGCTCCAGGCGCGCCTCCACAGCTTCCAAAGCAACGCGCCGCACTTTGCAGGGCCCGACGACGAGACGACGCGCGTCATGCAGTTCATCGCGCGCGAGGACACGTCTCGATGATCGCCAGCGCGGGCCCAGAGGCAGCGCGTCCTCGGGGTGCTAATGGGCCCCGTGCGGGCGGGGGCCCAACCTTCTTGGGATTTCAGCAGCCCCAGCGGAGTCGCCCAACAGAGACGCGCCAGCCACCGACGTCGAGCTGTCTGTGCTGGCGGCGCAGCGCGAGGCCGAGGGTTCGGTGGATTTGGGGGCAAGACTCCAGCAGGTGGATTTTGACGAGACGTGGGATTAAACTTGGGCCCAGCAGTGAGTCGAGCATTTCGCGGCCTTGCCGGGTTCGCCGAGGAAATGGGTTGCTCGGTCGCCGACCCCTGTATGGGGGGCGAGGCAATCGGCGGCTCGGCCGGCGGCGCCTCGAGCGCGGCGCCTGCTTCCGTCGAAGGAGGGGCTTTTTTGTTTGTTCACGGATGTCGGCGCCAGCGTCCTGGAGGTGCTAAACGCGCGGGTCGCGCGCGCGTGCTTTGAGCGCCGGCCTCCCGGGGGCACTCGCAGCGCGATGGAGTCGCGACGCGTCTGCAAGTGGGGGCGCCCGAAGGGACTACATGGTAAAATGAAGGGTTCTGAGACATGGGTGCAGGGTCTCTCTGCGAATGTTCCGTGGCATGGATGCTGGAGCCGCGCGGGCTGTCGCCGGCGCGGCCGGGCGCTCGTCTCAGCGATCGATTGTTGTCTTCGGGGGCGGCGCGCCGGCCCGGCCAGGTGTCGACTGGGCGCGCGTGGCCGTGGGCGTCGTGAAAGCCTTCTTGCATAGGGTGGCGCGAGCTCGCGGGCGAGGCGCTTCGCGAGGTGAGCTGCGCGCTGCGGCATGGCAGCGCGGCTATGCTGCGTGCTGCGACGGGCGCCGGGTTGCGAGACGTTCCGCGAGCGCGCGGAGCGCCGGCGCTGCGCCGAGCCTGGGGCTGGATCTCGCCCGGGTGATTTGGCCAAAGGGGTGTCGTGCCAAGCCCGCGACGTGGGGCCCCGAGCTGGAGGGCTAGCGCGAGCTGGCTGGTGGCTCGGCCGCTCGCGCCGCTGGCATGTGCGAGGCAACTGGTAGCTCGGGCAGCGGTGCCTCCAGCGTGGAGTTGGTGATGCTGCCGAGTGAGCATGTTGGCGATATTAACGTCACCGGGGAGAACGAGCATTTTGACTGGCTCGTCGCGCGCGTGGGGCAGGTGTTCGGCAATCTGAAAGGGGCTGCGAGTGCTTCGCGAACTGCTGTGTTGGCAGGCAGCGAAGCGCCGACGGCCCTGCGGCGACGGGCCAGGAAAGGTGCATCGACACGCTCGTCGCCATCGAGCACATTGGCTTGGTGGAGGCGACGGTGGACCAGCTGGCGGCGGGTTCGTCGCCTGGTCTGTTTGTGGGCCTGCTGGGAGCAGCTGCCTGCGCGCTTCGCACCCGGGGCCGCGTGGCCGCGCGCTGCGTGGCATTTCGAAGGCCCAGGGTCAAGCTGCTCACCAGCAGCTCTACAGCGCGGCCCTGGCGGCGCAGCGGACCAGGGCCAGCGCCGCGTTCCCTGCCGCGGGGTGCGCCGAGGGACTGACAGCCCGCAGCGACGGCTCCTACCAGAGGGTAGAGGAGTCATTCTGCTTCATGGGGGGAGGGCCTCGCGAGGATGAGCCGCTGCCGCTGGTCTGGCAAGGAGGTCTGCCGCCCGTTGGGCGCAGTGGCCGGGTCTCGCGAGCTAGTGTGAGGTTACGGCTTCGGCTCGTAACTGCTGGCTGCTTGTCGGCCCCGCGACGGACTGCAGGCCTGCCTGCTGGCGCCCCGGGAGATGAGGCGCGGCCCCGCCTCCCCGGGCGGGGCCCGCGGGCTCCGGTGGCGCGGGGGGCGTGCAGTCCCACGCTGTCGCAGGCATGTCCGCGTTGAGCCGTTGTCCGAGAACGGCGCGGCCAGGCGCCCGTGGCGGTTGACCGACCAGCCTCGGGCGGAGCAGCTCCGAGTGCTTCTGCGGTGCGAGATGTGAGACGCGCGTGCAGACCTGGCGAAGAACGGTAGCGCCCCCAGAGACTTCATCTTGGACGGGATGGATGGCGAGCTCGCCTGCGCCCGCAACGCCGTCAAGTACGCCGAGCAGACGCCCAGAGAGAAACCCTGGAGTTTGCAGTTTTCGGGCCTGGCCGAGGATTGGGCTCAGTGACGCATGAGGACTGAAGATTCCGGGTGATGCCGAATATTGTCGGTCATGCTTGCCATGCCGCCGAGGGCGCAGCACCGAGCAGGGCCAGACCCCGATGCAGCAGCGGCTCGCTGCAGTATTGGTGTCTCGGACACCGAGCTGCTGCGGGTCCGCGCCGGCGCCTCGCAGTGTAGATTCAGTCGATGCTTTGCGACGTGGTATCATGACAGTAAACATCTCTCTCAGTGCGGTGCTGTCGAAGTCTTTCGCTGGTGGCGGGTTCGGCACAGTGGGGAGGGCACCTTTTGGTGGCTGGGTTGCGGTGTCGGCGTTTGTTCCATGGCAGGGTGCGGTTTCCGAAGGGAGTGGTAGACTCGAACGGGGCACCAAATTCGAACGGTGCCCTATCCCGTGTCGTCCTTGGATTTTTGGCTCGTCAGGATCCGACCGTGCCCGTGCGATTAGTTATCCCGTGTCGAGCAGTCGCCAAGACTGCCCCAAAGCGTGTCGGACAGCCGCCCAGGTTGTTCCAACCGTTCCTTGGCCTAAGGAAGCACCGCCCTATTTTTTGAGCCGTGTACATTATTTTCATCTCTGCTTTCCTACTCCCGCTTCCCTTCCCTCTACCCCTCCTCCCGCCCTCCCCCTCCTGCTTGCCCCTGTTTCCACCCCTTCCCGTTCGCCCTTCGCCAGTCGCCCTCGCCCGCAACCTTCCCGCCCTCCCCGCCCCGCGTTCGACGGGTCATGCCGTGACGCGCAGCTCGCGCTCGACGGGCCGTGTGTTCGACGGCGGCGGCCGCCCGCAGGTGCAATTGCGGTCCAACGAGGAGACGGCGATCGCCCAGGCCATTTCCATCCTTAACAGCGATATGGCTTTCGAAGCCTTCGGTAAGGCCGGCCCGCCCGAATGGGGCCTCGTCGCGTTTGCCGCCGCCGTCGGTTTCGTCGTGGCCGTCGCCGCCTTTGTCGCATCGCCGTCGTCGCCGTCGTTTTCCTCGCCGGTGTCGTCGTCGTCGCCGCCGCCGCCGCCGCCGTCGTCGTGCTGTTTCGCCGTCTTCGTGTCGCCGCACTGAGGTCGTGTTGCCACCCTCTCGTCGTCCTCTCCCTTGTTTCCTTTTATCAGCATGTCGTTGCGTTTGCTTGGGCTTTTCCCTTCTCCTCTTCTCTCGCTTTCCCCTCCTCCTTCCTTCCCTGTTTTCCTCGCTCCCCTCCTTCTTCCGACGACGGCGATCGACGACGATGACTACCGTCGACGAAGACAATGACATGTGCCTCTGGAGGTCTCTGGAGGTCTCCACAGGCACGCGGGGGCCACAGGGGGCCCCTGAAGCCCCAGAAGGGACCCACAATGTCCGAACGCCTATAAATTCGATCTTCGAACGTTCCGATCCTCGAGCCTTGACCTTCGAACCTAGACGCCGACGACGCTCGAGGGGCGCGGGGGGCTGGGAGGAAAAGGGAGGCAAATAGGAGGGAAAGGGGGGAGGCGATGTGGAAAGAGGGGGAGGGGCGCGGGGAGGAGGAGGACGAAACGGAGGAGGAGGGAAGAGGAAAAGGGCGAAAACGAAGAGGAATCAGTGGAGGAGGAGGAGGAAGAGGATGATGCTGATGAGGATGATGAGGATGAGGATGAGGATCATGATGCTGCTGATGATGATGATGATGTTGATGATGACGACGATGATGATGATGATGATGATTGTGATGGCAATGACAATGATGACGATGATGATGATGATGATGCTGACGATGCTGATGATGATGCCGATGATGCTTTTAGTGACGATGCTGATACTGATTGCGATGATGATGATGACGACAATGTTTTTGTTGTTGTTGGTGATGATGAAGGTGGTCATGCAAACGAAGGATCGCAATCGACATGGTATCAGGACAACTAACACTACTAAGGCTACGGACATTCATGTTAATACTAAGAAGAACACGAATCGTAAGACGATACTAATACTAGCAATTCTGATAATCATTGTAATAATGCTTAAAATAATGCTAATACGAAACATGATAAGACAACTAAGAACACCTACGAATAAACATAATAAACACACTAGCGATCTACACATCAGACTGATACTACGCGTAAAACTGTTCCGGTCATGCATACGATGACGAAACATAATAAGGAGAACGCTGCAGTATCAAAGCGGAATACGACTAGTATTCACCATCATAAGACGAAGGCGAAGGACCATGCTACGAATTCTTGTAGTAATTCTGTACCTAAGACTAGTTCTATTACTACTACCACCACTATCACTACTACTACTACTACTACTACTACTGCTACTACTACTGCTACTGCTACTACTACTACTACTACTACGGCTACTACTACTACTACTACTACTATTACTAATACTACTGCTGCTACGACTCATAAGTATTACAACCGCGTGAATCATGCTACCACTAATAGTACTAAACATGGTCATATTCTTTATGGGGCTTCTAAGCTACAGCTAATGCTGATACTACTATTATTCGAATTGCTGCTGGTAGTGGTAGTACTAATGGTGATTACGATGATGATGATACTGCCGATGATGATGATGATTCTTATGATGATGCTGCTGATCATGATGATGATGATGATGCTTATGATTGTGATGGTGATGATGATGATGATGCTGATGTGGATGGTGATGCTGATGCTGATGATGATTATGTTTGTGATGCTGATGATGCTGATGGTGATGCATGTGATGATGATGACGATTATGCTGCTGATGATGATGATGGTGATGGTGATGATGATTGTGATGGTGATGCTGATGATGATGATGATGAAGATGATGATGATGATGAGGATGACGACGATGATGATGATGCTGATGATGATGATGATGATGATTATGATGATGATGATGATGATGATGTTGATTTTGATGTTTATGATGATGCTGATGATACTGCTGCTGATGATGACGATGATGGTGATGGTGATGGCGATGGTGATGGTGATTGTGATGGTGATGATGATGATGATGATGCTGATGCTGATGCTGATGCTGATGCTGATGCTGATGATGATGATGATGCTGATGCTGATGTGATGATGATGATGATGATGATGATGATGATGATGATGATGATGATGCTGATGCTGATGCTGATGCTGATGCTGATGCGGATGCTGATGCTGGATGCTGATGCTGCGGCGGATGATGAATGCTGATGCTTGATGCTACGATTGGCTCTAAGACCATTAATAATACGAGTAACCATACTATAATTCATGATGCCGCTCATAATAATATACATAATAGGAGGAGGAGGAGGAGGAGGAGTAGGAGGAGGAGGAGGAGGAGGAGGAGGGGAGGAGGAGGAGGAGAAGGAGGAGGAGGAGGAGGAGGAGGGGGACGACGGCGGAGGCGGCATCTGCGCGCGAGCGCCCGCCAGGTGGCCGCCACGAAGGGGGGGCGACCCGCTTCGTTCCTGCAGTTGAAGGGCAACCGCAAGGCGCCCGAAGGGGTGGGAGGAGGAGGAAGGATGTGCGGAGGATCAAGGGCAAGAGGAGGAGGAGAAGGAGGAGGAGGAGAAGGGGGTGGGAGGAGGAGGGAGGAGGAGGAGGAGGAGGAGGAGGATGAGGAGGAGGAGGAGGAGGAGTAGGAGGAGGAGGCAGGAGCAGGAGGAGCGGAGCGGCAGCAGGAGGACAGGAGCAGGAGCAGGAGCAGGTGCAGGACCAGGAGCAGGAGCAGGAGTAGGAGGGTGGTAGAGGAGGAGGACGAGAAGGAGGGAGGAGGAGGAGGAGAAGGAGGAGGAGCAGGAGCAGGAGCAGGAGCAGGAGCAGGCGCAGGCGCAGGAGCAGAGCAGGAGCAGGAGCAGGAGCAGGAGCAGGAGCAGGAGGAGGAGGAGCAGGAGCAGAGCAGCGCAGGCAGGAGCAGGAGCAGGAGCAGAGGAGCAGGGAGGAGGAGGAGGAGGAAGGAGGAGGAGGAGGAGGAGGAGGAGGAGGGAGGAGGAGGGAGGAGGAGGAGGGGGGGGGAACGGGTGGGAGTGGAGCGGCAGCCGGGCAAAAAGCAGGTGTGGCGTCCCGAAGTTGTGGTTGCTTTGAAGTTGTCCGCAATTTTTTCGTCTATTTTCGGGCTCTTGCTTCCCCCCTCTGCTCCCCGCCTTCTCTCCTCCTCCTTCGCTCCCCTCCTCCGTTCCGCCCCCCTCCCACTGCCCTCCCCTCCCTTTCCCTCGCCTTCGTTCCTCCACCTGCTTGTCCTTCTTCTCCCTCTTCCTCCTCCTGATCGATTCCTCTCCCTCTCCCCCCCTCCTCCTCCTCCTTCTCCTCCCTCCTCCATCTCCCTCCTGCTGATCCTTCCTCTCCCTCTCCCTCCAACTTCTCCTCCCACCTGACCTCCCTCCCTCCTAATCCATTCGAAAGTGTCAGCCCCCCCGCGGAATACCTCCGAGTGACTCCGAGGGCTTACGAAAACAGCCACAAGCCTTCGAACGCTGCCGTCGACATTCCCAAACGTTAGAATATCTCTTTTTCCTCCTTCCCCTCGTTCTCCACTGCCTCCTCTATCCCTCCTCCCAGAAACTACAAGGGCACCCTAGAACCTAGAATCCTTCGAAGCCCTCAGACGTCTTCAGAGCTCAAACCTCCCGCTCCCTCCTCCCCCTCCCTTCTCTTCTCCCCAGGGCAACGTGGTCATCGGCAGCGTCGCCATGCGCAAGCGCGCCGACGCCATGCTGAGGAGCGCGGCGCAGTCGCAGCACTCTATGAAGGCGCGGGCCTGCTGGGTGCAGTCGCCGTCGTCGTCGCTGTCTTTTCTTGTCGTCGTTCTGTGTCGTCTGTCGTCCGTCGTCGTCGTCGTCGTCGTCGTCGTCGTCGTCCGTTGTTGTCTGGTGTCGTCGTCGTCGTCCCTCGTCGTCGTCGTCGTCGTCGCCGCCTTCGTCTTTGGCGTCGTCCGTTGTCGTTCGTCGTTCATTCGCTCGCTCGCTCGCTCGTTCGTCCGTTCTTTCGTCGTCGTCGTCAGCGTCGCTTTCTTCGTCGTCGTCGTCGTCGTCGTCGTCGTCCTCGTTGTCGTCCGTTGTCGTTCTTTCGTTCGTTCGTTGTTCCTCATCGTCATCTTCGTCGTCCGTTGTTGTCCAGTGTCCTCGTCTCTGGCGTCGTCCCTCGTTGTCGTCGCCTTCGTCTTTGGTATCCTCCGTTGTCGTTCGTCGTTCGTTCGCTCGCTCGCTCGTTCGTCCGTTCGTCCGTCGTCGTCGTCGCCTTCGTCTTCGGCGGCGGTCTTCGGCAAGCTGGGGGCCCCCCGAGGCATTCAAAGGGCCCTCGGAGGTGTCCAGAAGGCTCACGTTGGGCCCGTTGGGTCCACCTGCAGGGCGACGACGACGACGACGTCGACGACGACCGACGTCGTCGGGAGGCTTCCGGAGGCTTCTGGAGGCCTCTAGAGGTGAACATTGGCAGTGTGTGCAGCAGCATCTATGGTGTACGCCAGCGCTGTGGCGTGCATAGGAATTATAATGAGCCGAAGCGCTGTGGTGCACATCTGTGGTGTACGCAGGCGCTGATGTACACAGGTGCTCTGTTGCGCACATGTGCTGGTGCAGCAGCATCGGTGGTATCCACAGGTATTGTGGTGTCACAGCCACCGTGGTATGCACAGACATTGTTTTCCACAAAGGCCTGGTGGTGCACATGGTCGCTGTGGTGTTCATAGGCGCTGTGCTGCACACAGATGCTGCTTCAATATTTGTTGTGCACGTCATCATTGATGCATACACACACGTTGCGGTGTACATATGCTGTGTGGTTTTCATCGGCATGGTGGACCTCAGGGACCGTGCCTGGTGTCAGGATAGTGAATAATCGCAGATACGTTCGGGCTACTTACGATTTTCTGGATTTTGGCCCCGTCGGGACCCGGAATGTATACACGCTTTGTGGTGTACACAGGCACTGTGTTGTACAAGTTTCGTGACACACGCAAGTGCTGCTGAAGTTGCAGATCATGTGCACACGGTCGATGTGGTGTGCACAGGGAATGAGGTGACTTCAGGCGCTGTGGTGCACACTGGCGTACGCAGGCGTTGTAATGTACGCATGCGCTGTGGTGCACGCCTGTTGTTGCTGCAGCAGCTACGGTGTACAACGGACACGAGGTTTAAGCAGTCATTGCTGTGTACACAGGCACGGGGATGTACACGGGCGTTTGTGTACTCAGGCAATGTGGTGTAAATGCGCGCATGGGTGCACACAGGCAGTGCGGTGTGCACACTCATTGTTGTGCACATTGGCCCTGAGGTATCCATAGGCGTTGTGGTGTAAACCAGCATGGTGTACACCGGCTAACTGGTGCACGCAAGCATTGGTGTTCACAGGCGCTGTGGTGCACGCAGGCGCTGTGGTGCACACAGGCATTGGGAGGTCCCTCCGTTGGCATACTGTGGCGCGCACAGGCGCTACTTCCGAACGCTCGTTGCTACTATCAGCGAGGCACTACTGTGCCTAGCTTTTCCTGGCACGTCCCTACCTACGCGCTAATCCTGGCTGTCCGTAGTTATTCCAAGGCATTTCCAACACCAGCGCGAAACCTAATGTGACCATGGGCTGCGGGGGCGAGGCTGGTAACGGCTGTCATCGCGGGGATTTCTGAGGTATTCGGATGCTTTCGCAGGTTGTCGGGGTGCTTGCAAGTCTTCGAAGGTTTCCGGACTTGTTCTTGAGAGGATGAGGAGAAGCAGGAGGAGGAGGAGGAGGAGACCTGCGCACGCCGCTGGAGGAGGAGGAGGAGGAGGAGGAGGAGGAGGAGGAGGAGGAGGAGGAGGAGGAGGAGGAGCAGGAGGAGAGGAATGGCGGAGGGGGAGGAGGACAGCCCTGGAGGTAGTCCAGGCTGGCCTCAAACATGCCACCAGGGTACTCCGTGCGCCGCCAGAGGCCGCACGGGAGTGCAGAGACCGCTCTGGGGTACCCACGGGGCCTGTGGAGGCCAGCTCGGACAGCCTCTGGTGGCTATCTGTGTGCAGCCCCACGCATTTCCAGTCGAAGTTGGATGATCTTCCACGAAGCGCTTGTCCGCGCTGCTCTCTTCGAGTCGGCCCAATGCAAGCGGATGCTGATACTGCCGGGGCTTGTGCTGCTCACGTTGTTGGTATCGGTATCGGGATTGATAGTGGTGCTGGATCGGGACGGATGTGCAATTGCGGTTCTGACGGTGACGGTGCCGACGATGACGATGATGATGATGCTGATAATTGTGGTGGTGGTGGTGGTGGTGATGAGATGGCGAAGTGTAGTATTGAACACGAAGGGGACTGGAAGGTGATGATGATGATGATGATGATGATGATGACGACTACGATGATGATGATGATGATGATGATGATGATGATGATGATGATGATGATGACGATGATGATGATGATGATGATGATGATGATGATGATGATGATGATGATGATGATGGTGGTGATGATGATGCTGATGCTGATGCTGATGCTGATGCTGATGATGATGATGATGATGATGAATGATGATGATGATGATGATGATGATGATGATGAGGGGGAGGAGGAGGAGGAGGAGGAGGAGGAGGAGGAGGAGGAGGAGGAGGAGGTGGAGGTGGAACGTCAGGAACAGGATAAGGAGGAGGAGTCGGATGAGGAGCACCAGTCATAGTGCCGGGGGACGCTGAAGTGCGGGTGGGGCGTGAGGAGGCCCGTGCCGTGGGCCGCCGCGAGCTGCCCCCCGCCGCTCTCGCCCCTGTCTGCCGCGTGCACGTCAGATTGCACACGCCTCCGGGTGCCATCAAGCTTGGAGCCAGAAACCAGAACCAGGAGGAGGAGGAGAACCCACGCAGTGAGTGAGCGAAGGAGAGGTGGAAGACCAGGAGGAGGAGGAGAACCAGGAGGAGAAACCAGGACCATGAGGGGGGGAACCAGAACCAGTGCAGTGAGCGACGCAGGCCGCGAAGATTGCGTCGCTGCTGGAGGCGGAGAACCCGTTCACGACAGTGCTGGAGGCTATGGCTGCTTCTCTGTCGGGTTACCTCAGCTGGCCACAGTCCTCCCTTGAATCCCTTGGTATGTCTTTCCTTTTTTCCGCCTCCCTCCCCCTGTGATTGATTTCGAATCGATTCTGGGTTGGAGCCTGGGACATACACATATGTCAATGCATATATCTTGATATCAGGCGGGTTACATTCGGCGTTCCGTGCACACTGCCCCACTCACCAGACTCGCCAAGGCCTTCTGCGTCGGGGTGCCGATGACCTCCCGTGCATCCCCCGTCTTCCCAGCCCCGACGATGTCCCAGCGGGCTGGATCATGACCGGCGAGTGGGTGAGTTCCCTTTCGTGCCTCTCTCTGGACAGGCTTTGGGGAGTGAGAGCCTGGCGCGCGCCGCGCAATCCTGCAGGCCTCGCCAGATCTGGCATCCGGGCGCTGTTAGGATGGGGCCTCGATGCGGTTGGGACAGGCGAGTGATGCTCCAACATCTTGGGCATACCGTGCCAGACCACCACGAGAAGGAGCGGGAGAGGAGGGCGACCAGGAAGACCCAACCCTCCGGCGACTTTGTTTTCCGCGTCGCTGGCCCCTGGAGCTCAGGGGCAACGATAGGGGGGGATAGGCATAGGGGACGACGTATCGACCCCCAATCGCCCATTCATCGCCGATGGAGGCCCGACCAGCCACAGCCTGCCCAAGAACGTGGATTTACTATCGTGGGCCTAGCGCCGCTCCCTCGGCGAGGTATCGCCGATTCCAGGTCGATGGCTCCCCCCCGTAGTCAACGCCCTATGGCCAGTTCCCCCCTACAGTCAACCTGCATAGTAAGGATAAAGGACTTTGGAAGGATACCCTTGCATACTTCCCCTTCGGCGCATCCTTGGCCGCTTTCGCTGGCCGCGCCCCGCTGGCAAAATGTCGACATGGCCCTGCAAGGCCCTTGCATCCTTGTCGTGAGCACTTCCTTATACGGGTTGACTGTATCGCTGCCCCTCAGGAGCTCTCGACTCCCCTGGGGCCCAGGGGGTTGTGGACGTGCCTGCCTGGCAGCTTCACCGATGCGCCGCTGCCGCCGCCACCGCCGCCGCCGTCGCCGCCGTCGTCGTCGTCGTCGTCGTCGTCGTCGTCGTCGTCGTCGTCGTCGCCGTCGCCGTCGCCGTCGCCGTCGCCGTCGCCGTCGCCGTCGCCGTCGCCGTCGCCGTCGCCGTCGCCGTCGCGTCGTCGTCGTCGTCGTCGTCGTCGTCGTCGTCGTCGTCGTCGTCATCGTCGTGGTCGCCGTCGTCGTCGCCGTCGTCGTCGGCGTCGTCGCCTGGTGGCGGACGGCCTCCGAGGGGGCCCAGGCGCGGCCTCTCCGGACACCGCGCGCGGCGGAGAGGCCTCCCTGCCGCACCCTCTCGCGAGGCGTGGGGCGCGGCGGCGGCGTGCCGCGGGGGGGCGCTTGCTGGGTAGTCGAAGGCCAGACTGTCAGATTGGATTGGGCCCCAAGGGCCAATCCGGCCTGGCCAAACTGGATGATTTGGGTTATTCGCCAGACTGGATTCGCGTTGGCTCCCTCGCCAGATTGCCCCCGTTTGCCAGATTGGGCCTGCCAGATTGGCGCCAGATTGGCTTCGACTACCCAGCTTGGGAGTTTCGGGCTCGAGGCTCGAGCTTGTCTCAGGCGATCGCAAGCATAGCGACGGGTCCCTTTTCCTTGGCCATCGCGCACCTCCGCCGCCGAGCGAGGCGGCACCGGCCGCACCGTGGGGGGGAGGGCACCTCCCCCGATCCGTGGATTTGGCCACCGCGCGCCGAATCCATGGATCCCGAATCCATTTGTGCGCCCCCGGTTGTCGCGCGTTCTCGAAGGCGTGCGCGTCCTCGGGCTGCGGCTGGCCCGGCCACTGCGCAGCCTTGGGGTGCGTTCCAGTCGTCGTCGTCGTCGTCGTCGTCGTCGTCGTCGTCGTCGTCGTCGTCGTCGTCGTCGTCGTCCACCGGTGGCGGCTGTTGTGGTGCTCCAGGAGGGGTGCTCCACGTCGCCGTTGTCGTTGTCGTGGTTTTCATTGGAGCCTTTGAGTTGTGATAAAGCAGTTCCCAATGGCGAAGACAGAACTATGTTTTCATCGTTCGCCCACGACAGTCCTTAATTGTAACCTGTTTCCGCCGATCAATTCGTCTCTCGTGCTCCTGTTCCGGGCTGAGGTCAGACCAGCTGTCGGGAGGCTGCGTCTACGATGTGGAATGGTTCGTTCGTCGCAGGTCGTCCCTTTTTGCCCGCACCACCACACATTTTCCTACTCGTTCCTTGCGCTGTCTGTTCAATCTTGTACCGTTTCTGGTATTGGGGCACTCGTGCAGGCGTCTTATCAGCGTTCCTCATGGTCTCTGGGCGGGCGACAAGGGTGAAGTGGCCATCGACACTCAATCGCTTTTTCATCGCCGATCGTGGCATGGGCGCCCCACCCTCCCCATGAACATCCAATTTTGTCACCAGGGTCGTTTTATTTGCATTGTGGCGATGTATCGCCGATGTCCCCCCCAAGCCAGTTCCCCCCATTGGCCAGCCTCCTGATCCTCGCAAGGCGATTAAGCAGATGCTGTCCGTCATCTCCGAGGAAGGCGAGATGGACGCCGAGAAAAAGAAGTGGTGCGACACTGAGCGCCAGCAGAGAAACGAAGCCCTCCAGCAGGCACCTTGGGAGCGGGGCGGGGACATCACCCCCGTCGGGGAATTGCTGGGAGGGGAGGGAAAGTATCACTCTTATTGTTGTGTTCGATATTTTTTAAATTAGTACTGTTACTTTTACCGTAATTATATCGATCAAGTACTGATTCGTTCTTCTATTTTTCGGATTCTCATTGTTGTGACTATAGCTGTTATTGTTGTTAGCAGTATCCACGTTAACAGTGTTGATGTTATTACCTGTTATTCGTTTGATTATTTGACTTGCACTCAGTGTTATCCTGATTCTTTTTAAACTTGCATTTTCATTATTAGTCTGGTTATTCGTGCTGTGACTATTATCCTTACGCTTCTAATTACTATCACTACTGATGCTAGCTAGCGCAATGATCATTATTCGTATCAGTATTACTCTTCATCCTCTCCTTCGTCTTTTTTTTCCTCCTTCTGCTTCTTCTGATTACTATTTTTCAATCTATGGCCTACGGCCCATCCCACCACCGTGCGTGGGTTGTGGGTTAGAGGCCTCTTGCATGTTCGTTTGGGTACCGTTGGTGGCCTCTCGGGAGCCTCTTGGAGGCATTTTTGAAGCCACTTGGGCGCTGTTTGGGGGCCGCTCTGGGCCTCTTTTCGGGCCTCTCGGGGGCCTCACATGGGGCCTCTAGGAACCACGCTCGCGCCAAGGACGCCCTCGCAATTTACTTAGGAATCGCGCTCTCGCTTAATACTTCCTCGCAATTTACGCAAAAATCCCGTTTGAATGTCCCGCCCGCCCGACCCGCCCGTCAGGGTCCGCCCGCCCGACCGGCGCTCCCGCCTGAGACGTCCGACAATGTACTCGGGACCCCCGCTCCCGCCCAACTCTTCCTTGAGGAATACGCCCTCGCCTAGGACTTCCTCGAACGTTCACACTCTTACCCTCCTGCCCCTTCCTCCCCATCCAACCTCCCTCCTCCCTCCCCTCTCCCTCATATCCACCCTCCTCCTCCCTCTTCCTCTCTCCCCTCACCCTCCTCCCATAACCCTCCTCCCTCCTCTCTTCGCCCTCCCCTCTCCAGCCTCCTCCTTCCTCCCTCCTCTGTCTCTCTATCTCCAATCGCCCCCCCCCCTCCCCCCCTCCTCGCCCCCTCTCTCCTGGCGTGTTCCCCTTTAGCCTCGTCCCTCCCCCTCCCTTCCTCCCACTCTCCCTCGTTCTCCCCGTCCCTCTTCTTGCAGGGCCCGCGCTAATTCCAATGGTTGGCAAAGAGATGCGTGCCCCATCCTCCGAATAATTCCCCGCCCGTTCACGCCCGCTTGTCTAAGCCCGCCCGCCCCCGCGAAAAGACAGAATCCCCCCAGAAGGGGGTACGCTCGAAGACGAAGGGGGCGGGTATCGAGGGCGTGGGTATACACGTTGCATGGCACGCGGGCAAGTAAGAGCGAACAGTCTTAAAATGATTGTTGTTGTTGTTGTTGTTGTTGTTGTTGTTGTTGTTGAACATTATTAATTCTAAAGAATAATTATTGTTGGGCCCCCTGGTGCGCGCCCCCCCCGCCGCGCCTAGGCCGCAGCTACATTTTCATCATTTTCGTGAGGAAGCCTCAGGTAATTCGAGTTGATCAGATCCGGTTGTTTTGTTGTAATCCGCTTTCCCTTGCAAAAAACACTAAAATGACATTTCTTGTTCTAATATAATCAAATTTCAAGAATCCCTTGCAAAAAATAAGGTAAAGTGGACATTCGCGCGCGCAAGACGAAATCCTTCCAAAAGCTTAGTGTTCGGAGCGATTTTAACATAAAAACATAAAAAACCAATGGTTTTTCAACAAAAAAATGTCAAAATCTCATCCCGCGCGCTCTTGCGGATTCGTAGGAAACCAACACTTTTTAAACATTTCTGTCAAACGGGCTTTTGCGAGCAACTTTTTCGAACTTCTGCGACAACGGTTGCGCACCTGCCAGGGCCATCATCCCTGTCAAATAATACCATGCGGGACAGATTCGTTTTTTCTTCGCGCGCGCACGCCGAAATCTCCAAAAACCATTGGGTTCTTTGGGTGTGTACCCCACGCCAGTGTAGTAGCCACGGTCGTCCGCACGCCACGAAGTGAAGTGTCCCAACGTCATAGGGCGGGAAGCTGGGTTTGGGTGGTCGCGAAGAGTCGTGTGGTTATTTGGTAGAGCTTGTAATGCCCCCCCACGAAGTGGGGGTATTTCCTGGTGTCGTATGAAAACCCGGGCACTGGG